ATCAGTGATGACAGGGAATCATTGATTGGCTGCCTCCTGCACACCCCCTTCTGAGGATCGAGCTCACAACCTAGGCATATGCCCTTGACCAGAAGGGTCCCAGCCTGGGACCCGTCAGTCTGCAGGCTGGCGCTCTATCCACTGAGCCAAACCAGCTAGGGCCACAGTATTACATTTAACTAGAGGCCCTAGTTAAGGGGCGGGGGGAGGTCCCTTAGCCCAGCCTGCACCCTCTCCAATCCGGGACCCCACAGGGGATGTCCGACTGCTGGTTTAGGCCCGATCCCTATCTCTCGATCTGGGACTGCTGGCTCCTAACTGCTCGCCTGCTTGCCTGCCTGATCGCCCCTAACCACCTCTGCCTGCCTGCCTGATCGCCGCTAACTGCTCCCCTGCTGGCGTGATCACCCCTAACTGCTCCCCTGCTGGCCTGATCGCCCCTAAACGCCTCTGCTTCAGCTCCACACCCAGGACCCAGGATTCCCTCCTCCAGCCAGCCGCAGGCACCCGGGACCCGGGTCAGCAGCAGCTGCAGGGGACTGTGGGCGGGCGGCTTTGCCCGGGCCACAGCAGCTAGCACCCAGGACCGAGGGGCGGGTGGCTTCTCCCTCTCCCAGGCTACAGCCGCAGCCACTAGCGCCCAGGGGCCACAGGCGGTGGCTTTGCCCAGGCCCGGCTTTGTCAGGAAGGACGTCCAGATGGTTGTCTGTAAGACATCCATTCTAATTAGCATATTACCCTACTATTAGTATAGATGGGGATAGTTAGGTTGGATATAATCTAAATCTTCAACAATAGGATTCAACAATGATTATTTTGCAACAATCATTGAGTGATTGTCTTCAACAATCATTCAATGAAATGTTGCAAAATAAAAATCTTATGACCAAAGAATATCTAGTATCTAAGAATTCTTACAATATAATGCAAAGTAGAAAAAGCAGGATATCAAATGTCATTTATATTGTGTAATATTATGCAATATGAACACCAAGTATGATTATGGAGACTTTAATTTGCTCCTTTATACCTTCCTGATTTTCCAAATTTCTACCAGGAATATAAATTGCTTTTATGAAAACTTATTCAGAAACAAAGTTACCCAAGAACTTTAACCACCCTCAGAAAAATGTTAGCCAAAATATCAATATTTAATCTGAATCAAAACAGAATATGCTTTGAGCAAATGTCCATATTACTAAGTTAATAATTAAACTTATAGAGTCCTAAGATAGAACGCATCTTTGAAATCCCTTAAGAATGTGCTACCTGATATTACTTATCTCTACAGTGCTCTAGCCACACAACTAGATTCAAGACCCTTAAGGTCTGTAGTCATTTTGTACTTCTTGGTTTCCTTAGAACTCTGGAGTGTGGTGGTGCATAGTAGAAACTTTTTATTAATAACAAAGAAGCATAGCCCAGCCGGCGTGGCTCAGTAGTTGAAGTTAAACCTATGAACCAGGAGGTCACGGTTTGATTCCTGGTCAGAGCACATGCCCAGGTTTCGGGCTTGATCCCCAGTGTGGGGCATGCAGGAGGCAGCAGATCAATTGCTCTCTCTCATCATTGATGCTTCTATCTCTCCCTCACCCTTCCCCTCTGTAATCAATAAAAATATATTTTTAAAAACTCAATTCTTTAAAAATGTAACAAAGAAGCATAGCACTCAATGAGTCAAAACAAAGGAAATGTTTTAATATTCATAATTTACCCTCACTACTTCCAAAACAGGATCTGAAATGGTTTACAGTAAGAGACTTGTAGAAAATATCATTGCTATTTTTTAATGGAAAAGCAAAATTGAGCGTTGACCTATGAGCCAGGATGTCATGGTTCGAGACCAGGTCAGGGGCACATGCTGGGGTTTCGGGCTCGATCCCCAGTAGGGGTCATGCAAGAGGCAGCTGATCAATGATTCTCTCTCATTAGTGATGTTTCTATCTCTCCCTCTCCCTTCCTCTCTGAAATCAATAAAAATATTTTTTTTAAAAAAAGCAAATATACCCCAAATTTAAGACTATGTAGTAAGATTGAGCCATATTTTCCATTTCTTTCTGAGCTCTGTAGAAGCCAACACAGAAAAGAAAATGAGGGTTATGAATAGTGATTTTTAAAATATAGATATCAGTTCTTTGAATGTAAATGCATTTTCCTGGTACTAATTCTAAAGCATGTTTATTCTTTTTCAAAGAGTATAGAACAACAGAGATGAAGGTGTTTTTAACAACCCCTTATCTTAAAAGAAAATATAGGGACAATCTTCATGTGACTGTTTCTTGCAGTCACCTTCCATCAATGCCAAAGGGGTAACACTGGGACACACGTCATCAAAGAGAGGGACAAGCCACTGACACCCATCTCTTAGCGCTGCTGATGTTACTTGCTACACACTTAGAAATTCCATACCTGTAGGAACAAGTGGACATCCTCATAAGTGCCCTAAATCATGAGCCCCTCCTCAGAGCTTTGAGTGCGGCATAGCAATCAATTAAAGAAAGAGCTAGAGCCTGGAGTGCAAATAGTCTTTCCAATTAAAGAAGAATCCATATGCTTCAAATTCCAAGCATGCTGTCAATAAGGTAGAAGTTCTGTTCAAAAAGTTGGTAAGCCTACTTTTGTCTATATATGAAAGAAAATGTCAGCGAAATAAAGTTCTATTGGGAGAATATTTTGACATTCTAATTTTATCCCAATTTGGTTATTTTAGGATATTATCAACAAGGCAATTACTTGGAAAGAAAGAATACAAAGCAAACCTTTCTTTTGCGATACACATTTAGGGGTCTTGGAGAAGGTGAAAGAACAGCTAACTTGGAACGTGGACTCTTGCTTTATCTCACACTCTGCCTATAGTGCTTTCATGACTTCA